AGAGAGAGAGAGAGAGAGAGAGAGAGAGAGAGAGAGAGAGAGAGAGAGAGAGAGAGAGAGAGAGAGAGAGAGAGAGAGAGAGAGAGGGAGAAACCCCCCTACCCCCGGCCTTGAAAGCCTACTCGCAAAAAAAGAAATGAGCCCGGATTTGGGGTCCTCTGGGAGAGTGCAGAAAAGCAAAAAAAAGAAGTTTTTTTTCTTTTTCGTTTTTGCACGCCTGGGTGCCCGACCAGGCATGAAAATCTTCCTAGCTTCTTAGCGCATTTTGAAGTGTTTTCTGATTTCTTAAGAATTTTGATTTTTAAAAAATAATCCAAAAATCTGAAAAAAAACTACGTTGGAGAAATTCCCAACCAAATTCAAGAAAAATAAATAAAACCGATGTTGGCTCCTACAAAGTTGTAGTACTGTGTACCCTAAAACTCGTTCTATAACGTACGTACGTTGTATTAATATACAGCATACCCCGTACGTTGTATTAATATACAATGTGCGTATGTTTTTTTTCGGGTTAAGACAGTAGTGGAAGGAGAGATAGGGTGCAGCTATAGCGAGTGAGGTCTTGCTGTTCTCTCAAATAATCTCTCCAGCCGATTGTTGCAAGTGGCTCAGGGAGGCAGGCACTCAGTTCTATGAAAGTATTTCCTGGTTTCATCAGTTATTTTGGTTTGGATGTTCAGTTCCAATATCATGTGAAAGTCCACAATCAAGTGCGATATCATCTCAATCAAGTGTGTACGTGCAATGCACAACACCACCCAGGCACACGAGCGCACGACCTCAGACCATGAGGGCACACCACTGCCACGCAGCCCCATCCACACGATCCACAACTTTATACTAGGTGGGCCCCACCCCCACCGGCCACCACATTCCTGGTACAATTCCCAGGCTGGTTACCACGTTTGTGTCCAGTCAGAACTATTTCCAGCCTTGGACCTCCTCCGTGCACTCACGGATGCGAACCGGCGCCCCTTAGCCTCAAGAGCCAATTTTCTTAACAGAGACACCCATGGCACGGTGTACAAAACTGGAACACCAACCAACACCTTCATGAATTTCTTCCCCAAACTTGAAATGTACAAAAGTTTACAAAAGTTTACAAAAGTGTACAAAAAGTGTACAAAAGTGTACAAAAGTGGGACACCAACCAAAAGTGCGAAACCAGCGCCCTCTGAAGTGAAGTTTTGTGCACATGGACGTGGCGTGACATCTGTGATTGCTCAGCCCAGGGGCAGGAGATGACAGCTCACCTGTTGCGACAATGATGGAAGTTCTCCGGGCTCTGGCAAATTGTCCTCCAGCGAAGCATGCTGCTGTGTTTTTGTTCAACACGGGAGAGGAGTCCGGGTTATTGGGAGCCCACTCGTTCATCACACAGGTGTGTGTTTGGCACTGTCTGGACCTTCCTTTGCTCTGCATCACCCCTCTTTTTGCATGTCTTCGCACACTTGTTTACGCAGTCGCGGATGCTTTTTGCAACAATGTGTTGTACGCTTCTTAGGCGACGAAGTTAGAGTAACCAACCGTAATGCCAAACTCTCCAAAAAAGAAAAAAAAAAAGCGGAAATGAAGCCTTGGCCCTAGGGCAAATTGGTTTTGGCAGGGGTGAGCAATGAAGGTGTTGTTCCGATGAAGTTTGCGTTCTTTTTTTGCTTCGTGGTTCGGGGGTTGTGTTCAAGTGAGAGAAGTAGTGGCAGTTGTTAAACCACAAGTACACCGCCCAGGCAAAAGAAATTCATTGAAAACGACTCATTCCGAAAAGATCGGGGGTCGGGGCAGGGTCGGCACGCAAAAAAAGAAGAAGAAGAAACTGCGCCCAAAAAAAAAAAAAAAAAAGAAACTGCAAATTGAGACGACGTCGGGGAAGGCCCTGAAGGAGGTGTGCTC